CACATAATATTATGTTTCTATTTTATTATATTACATTAACTTATTTTCCCCTGTCCACAGGGCTCGCGCCAATTTTCTCAAGTTCATAGTCTGGGGCATCATGGGAAGCATCCTTGCAGCGCTCGGTTTCCTGGGCAACACACTGTCCATGGTGGTGCTACAGCAGCGACAGATGCGTTCGTCCACCTCCTACTACCTTCTCTCGCTCGCCATCTACGACAACTGTGTCCTGCTCGGCATGACTCTCTACTTCATCCTCCCCGCCCTCGCGCCCTACAGACCCGAGCTCACGGACTACCACTCCACCTTCGCGCTCACCATCCCCGTGGGCTACCCGCTCTCGCTGTCTGCTCAGATGGGCTCCATTTACACGTGTGTGGGCTTCACGGTTGAGCGCTTTATCGCGGTTTGCAGGCCGCTGCACGTGGCCAACACGTGCACGAAGTCGAGGACACTGAGAGCCATCCTGCTCGTGTTTATCTGGGCAATCCTCTACAACATCCCCAGATTTTTTCATTACGAGTTGGAATACGTCACAGTGCCGGAGGCGAGCGGAGCCGGAAGCGTTGTCAACGCAACAGTTGAGACATTGACAGAAAATACTTTAGATATTGGGCTACAGCACACCGGGTGTAATACAACAGCTATCTTCGGGGGGTCGGGATGGAGCTACAACGGCACGGGTTATGGCCCCTGCCCACCAGGCACGGAATGGGGGGCGGGGCTAGAGGTCAACTCCAGCCACGACATCGGGAGCCCCACTGCGGCGCTGTTCACCAGAGACCTCATACAGGACGCAGCATCGGACATGAGTAGAGGAGCCACGCTCGTCGAGTCCGCAGCCGAAGCAGCATCACCATCAAGTGCCACACCCATCACCATCACCACCACCACCAGCAGCAGTAGCAGTAGCAGTAGTAGCACAGTGCCCCCCGCCCCCAAATCTGTGATCAGGTACTCGGAAACGGAGTTCGGTCTTGACCCCACATTTCAGCACATTTACCTCATTTACTCTCACTTGTTCTTCATGTTCCTGCTGCCCTTCCTCATCATCCTCGTTATGAACGTGGGTCTGATCCGAGCGGTCAAGAGGTCAAAGTCCATGCGTCAGTCGATGTCAGCCTCGGCCAGCAAGGAACACAACCTCACAGTGATGCTCATAGCCGTCATTGTGGTCTTCCTCGTGTGCCAGTTCCCAACTATCGTGGACAACATTCTGGTGGCGATGGTGGGGGAGAAGCAGCTAAAGCAGCATTACACCTACATGGTACGTACCTTGCCTATGGGAAACGGAATGGGGGAGAAGAGGGGAAAGGGAGAGGGGCTTTTTAAACACTTCTTTTTTT